GTATTGCCTTGACAATGGGCAATTCATCTTCATTTATCTTAAACCTCACATTCAGATCATTTTTTCAAATTTGACTCTTGAACAAAAACAATACTTTAATGATTAAGTACCTTTTTGGTGGATTCTGACAAACAAGCTGAAACGAGCTACTGACTCGACTTCCATCGTGTTATGGCCATCTTCAGGGATCTGTTGGGGGTAAGGAGTGTGGTCTGCAGGGGCAGGTTGGTCATGGGGCTGGTTTTGTTCTTGCCTCTGATCCAGCTCTCGATGGATTCCCGCTCGTAGGAATACCCATCTGTGAGGTAGACACACATATTGACCCTTTAAAGACACTGACACAGTAACTTATGTTGACAAAAAAAACAGAAGAATCACGGGCACAGGCTTTTTCCATTTCACTTTTTTTTCGTCTAACCTGCAGCGATGACTGGATTCCTCATCAGCTCTCTGGTGATTGGACACAGAAACTCATCAGGAGCGTCTGAACTGCTCTGCTCTGCCTTCAAGGCCTCGATATTCCTCAGGAGACGACCGCGGAGGCCCACCGACTCTGAGGAACCAATAACCGCGTTTAGTATTCTGGTCGTTGAATTACACGCTGTACAATTTCTTCCAACACTTAAACTTTATTGAACCGAAAAGGTTTTTCGTATCAAACATTTAACCTGTTGGTTTTTCTCGTAAAACGACTCACTGTGCGGCGTTAATGTGATTCCACTGAGACGTGTGGCTTCAGTGTTCCTCTGTGAAACACTTGACAGACTCTGGGATAAAACAAAAGGGAGGAATACAAATGGACTTCTGCTCTGCTCAATCTGAGCGTAGACAAAGAGGCAGACACACTCGCTGTGGGTTGATGTCTCCCCCTGAGTTAATGTAGCTTTCAGATCAAAGTTAACACTATCATTATTCTACCTGAGAATAAAACTCAAAAAGAGGCCAATCAGGGAGAAGTCGCTCTGCCGACAGCTGCACGTCTCTGCCCGCTGACGTCAACCTTTGAATTTGTCCTCGGCTGCAAATTTCACCACCAGCCACAATCGTGGTGACAACCGCTACAGCCACATGAGTAGTGGTGGTGTCTGTGTGTGGAGTCATGGAGGTGGGGGCCAGTGATGGAGTGAATGGGAGATGCTGCAGTGGCATTTTTCCTCAAGTCCTTAAGAGACTTGTCTCAATCAAAGCGTCTCTTCTCAATGAAACACGCTGAACCTGTTCAGTGCTCTAATTAATCCAGGAAATTACTCCAGAACGGGAAAAACGGCTCCTTACAGCTCTATAGGGTTTGAGGATTCCATAAGTTCCAACATCTTTCATGGCAGCACGAGCCATTAGTACGATACTGTCCACTTTACATTTAGATTGATAATTTGATGAGACGCGGCGGCCATCTCCTCGGAGATACACTGAATTATATCCAAGAGGAACACTTTTTTTTTTCTCCTTACTCAAAGATTCATGAATATTTCATCAAGGAAAGTGTGCTGGAATCAAATTTGCTGTGTATGTGTGCGTGATTAAGTGTGTGTGTGTACGCTCACACAAACAGCATGGGAGGAAAATAATAGTTGTCACTTGCACGGCACAGAACGGAGAGGAAATGTGGCAATCTGCTGTTTCCACTGTCCTCACTCTGGGCTAATGAGAACACACAGAAAAGCCATTCTCATTCCATAAAAACACGATTTGCATAACGCAAGCATGTAGGAAGAGTTGACTTTTTTTATACAGTGTTTACAGATGTCCAATTAAAGCAAACAACAGCAGCCAAAGGACGTTTTTTTTACCGTGATTAACAGCGGGATGAGATGCAACTTGTTACGTGATTACACACAGTACCTGTAATCAGACTAACGACAGATGCAACGTGTGAACTGTTTGATTCGCTCCCTTAGAAGCTGCGTGTGAAAATACAAATTCAAGACAGACTGCACTTAGCTGAAACTACCAGAATTAAAACACTATTAACACTATTAATCCACCAATGACACAAATTAAAATCCAGGGAATTTCAACAGAAAATAATCAGGTTTTAATCTGCGGTGAGGTCACATCATGCATATTTCTGACCTGATGTAGTTTTCTAGAGTTACTGTGTGTGATATGGTGAAAAAGAACAATTGCAAAATAAGTACAGATCATTTCTTAAACTGAGCTTTGAAGTTTGTAAATGATGATGATCCTTGACTGTAAATAAAGAGGCACAATGCCTTCCCCCCACTTTACAGAGATGAAGCCAAAATATTCCACTGAAGTCGTCATTTGGAGACGGAGTCTGGGACATTGGGACATTGGGACAGAGAGCCGCGGAGTTAGAGTCCCACCTATACACACGCCCGACCAATCGTAAGTCAGTCTCCTTTGTCGATCGTGAGGTTTCACCCCAGTTTTAAAATATCAAATCAAGATGGTCCAAACAGATCTTCACTCCCATTAACCAGAAATGAAACCAAAATATCTTGGATGTGAATACAAAGATCCAGCAGGTGGCGATCGAGACGTTTTGGCTTCACTTGTGGGGAGCACTCATATCGTCCATGGTTATTCACAGTCAAAGGTTAAATCAGAGGTCGTGCTTTAAATAGCCACTGGCAGCAGTGAGTTAGTTTAGCTTAGCATAGAGACTGGAGACAGGTAGAAATAGTTAGCCAGGCTCAGGTCTTAATGCTAAGCTAACATCACATGCAGCTGTAAGTGTGTTAATAAGGATAAGATGTTCCTTTAAAACATGTAGGTGCTGGTAAGGATGACTCGTGTGCAGTGGGGGTTACGACAGTCTGTCCACCCCCCCCCCCCGGGCAGCCCGGCGTGGATTAATCTTATTTTAAGAGGGATTATAATTGTTTGTGACGTAAAGGTCATCGTGTGGGGGGGCTGTCCTCGCTGCATCATTTGTGAAACAGACAGAAGAGCTGCAGCTTCATGTCAATAAATCAGATCAGTATTTGGGGGGAAAAAATTTATCAGAGCCTCAATAAAAGCTGCTTATATCATGCTATTGAATTTGGGCTTGTCAAGTTTTAGGATCAAACAGTAAATCCCCACAAAAACACTGAATCCCAGTGTGTGTGTGTGTGTGTGTGTGTGTGTGTGTGTGTGTGTTCTGTACACAAATGTACGTGACTGTGTGTTTTATATCCTTACCAATTCCTAGCTCTGAGGCTGTTTCCTTGTTCAGCCGGCTAAGCTCCGGTCCATCGATGTTGTTGGCTTTAAAGTTCCCGACAAGCTGCTCTAGTCCCTCCTCGTGGAGCCAAGTCTGCACATCCTCCTCTGACCAATCGGCAAGCAGCGGCCTGAAGTGACCCGCCAACTTCCTTCCTGCAGAACACACAACAGGAAGGGAGGAAGTGCTCGGCTCTTACTCCCCCATCTCTTGCAGCAAAAACGTATCTGATGCAAACAAACAAATTTCCCTGACACTCCACAGAAAAAAATGGTCACACTCCCTCTGCGCCGGGATCGGAGATAATTAACCTTCAGACATGCACGTGCACACGTCCCTGTCCTCACAAACGTGGGATCAAAAAGAAAATGGAAGACAGAGAAAGCCAGGGTTGTGTTCCTTCAGACGGAACCAGCATGCAGCTCATCAACCTCCACTGTGATGCCATGCCAGCGAGCAGCCGTCATTTATCACGCCAGGCTGAGATAAACCGACCCGGAGTGTTCGGCCCGCTGATGACACCTCACAGCAGCCTCATGCTTCCCATTTCCCATCATTAGCCAAAGACTGGAAGCATTTCAAATAACCATGAAGACTGGAAGGTGTAGCTCATTACAACGCTAACCTCATGGAGGGAATCTCCCCCTCACCTCTTGCTTCCACCGCTGCCTAAACTATTCAGTCTTTGCAAGTTCCTACATAAAAAAATCAGTTTTGAACACAGAGAGGCAATATGTCTGAGAAAGAAGAGAAACAATCTTCACTCAAATTATAACACGTCCTGTGGCTGCACTGATGTTTCAGACACCTGGGGCACTGCAACAAGTTAGGCAAAGCAGGCAATTACCCAGGGCCCCTCTTGGAAAGGCTGAATCCACAGCAACAAGAGAACTTCCTTTAACTCTATGATCGGCTTTGTACAGCAGATCAAAATGATGTCATAGCTGCTTTCAGACACGCAGGGAACTCCACATAATCTCCTGCGGGGCTGTATGTGAGAACGCTAATGTGCGGCAATGCTGGTGCCCCCCCCCCACCTGAACTTTCTGGTTTTGATTTTCGATTAAGTTAGAGGTTTGGTTGAAGACTAGAATTTGTAAATGTGAACTGAATCTATGATGGTGGAGGAGGTTTGCACTCACACTTTAATGCTTCAGTCTGGAGCAAGTTGTTGAAGCGACAGACGCAACACATCCACTCACTGGATCTGCATGACCACCTCTACTCTGCAGCTCTGAGAGTGTGTGGAGACTCCCAGTCTACGAGGCTGAGTCATGGAAACATATGAAAACCTCAGAGCTTCACGGCTCAGCCTGCTCCTGCTCGCTTTAATTACTCAGACAGATGCACAAACGAGGCTTTTCTCCATAATCTCCATTCTTCACCGCTCAGAGGACGAGGCTGGTCTATTTTTCTAACTGTCAATGAATCCCATGAAAAGACCAAAGCCAGCAATGAATTTATTCTGTTAATAAGCATCGCCTGCGTAGTCGAAGCCTAGTATAGATAATCTCTCTGTACCGCACCGACCTCGTGGTCAAACTGCACATGGAGTAGCAGCGTTTAGCTCAGACTCAGTTCATTTAAAAACTTAAAGATGTACAGTATCTCTTTCCCACTGCTTTTAATTTACGGCCCCGTCTACAACACGTGTTTTCCATCACTGCTGCTGATTAGATCTTTAGTCGGGCTGAAGCTGGGAGGAGCTGAAAGTCATGTAATGTCACCAAAGCCTGTGAACTAATAAGAATTAGAGCAGTAGTCTCGTGTTCTGGCGGTGGAGCGGTCGGTCATTGTGCTCTGGGGGTACAGCAGCCCTCCAGGGTTACTATGCTGAACGCTGCCTGCTTTAAATAACTTCATGTTTACTGAGCGTTTTTCTCTGCGTCAGCTTCAAACTAATTGACACCATGTCCGAGAATTCCTCCGTGTGGCTGCATTGTGTTAAAGTGGATTAAAAAGTGTTAACTCTGTGAAAACCAACATGGAACATCATCTAGAAACAGTGAGCTAACTCCTCTGTTAGGATTCTCCGTCCGTTTGCTAATTTGCACTAAACTAATCACAGTGTGAGGCTGATGGAAACGTCACTAGTTTATTTCAAAGTATTTTTGGACTGACTCATCGACAGTGATCCTCATGTCATGGCTCTAATATGACTAAAAAACTAAATCCTGTTGTAGGATATCACACAGCCTCTTAGGATCTATAACTATAAACTGCATCATTTTACAATATAGAGAATATATGGCTTTGGTAAAACTACTGAGATTAACAATGTAAATGGTTTTAGTCTTTTCGTGGGATTTGTTGATGTGGAGAGAAAGAATAATGAAGATGTTTCTTTTGGGTAAAATGAACGTAAAGTGAAATTTCTCTTCTTGGCTTCACCAGAACTGAAGCTTTTAGTTTCTGGCTTCACACAACACAGTATGTAAATATACAGTGTACCAACATGACAAATAACTAAATCATGGGAAAAGCTCTCCATCAAATGCAACAGAGAGAGAACTAGAGTGGCACTCAAGTGAACGCAAGAGCCAAGAGTCCCTTTAAAATGAAACAAGCTGCACACACACTTAGATGTTAGTCTTCTAAATATGCCTGTTTTTTCCACCACGATCCAGAAGTTATTTCCTATAGGACATTAGTGAAAACACCATTTCTTGAAATGTTTAAGAAAGTAGAAACAAACATCCTGGATCCCCCCCTTTGTCCAGATCTCTGCCAAAATCTTAGGATTCGCCCCCGTCCGACCCTTCCCCTAAGCTTTGTGGAAATCATGCTTCAGTCAATTCTGTTAGAAAAAAACAACAGGCATAAAAAACCTAACCTAGTTGGCAAAGATTGGAAGAAAAGCAGGAAATGAAATGTGGATCAAGACATGAAATGATCTAAACACCTGCACAAAGACTTAAACTTAATATTAACTTCCAGCTCATACTGACCCAATAATGAGATTATTTTTATTTTAAACTGGACTCACAAACACAAAATTGAAAACTGAAACGCAGCACTTTTCAGCTCAAACACGACTGTGAATGGAGAATTCTAAGGTGCATTTATTTACCTTGGCACTCTGACTGCCTCGACTCAGCTGCTGCAGGGAAACATAAGAGAGAGTGAGTTTAATATGAGAAGAGAAAGAGAGAGAAGATTAAAGGACAGAAAGAAAGAGAGGGAGAGAAAGTCAGATATCCATTGAGAAGGAATTTGCTTTGTCAACAGGGGGCTGACTGATGGCAGATGGAGGAGCTTCCCTGACGAAGCTTCAAGGCCTCCAGATGTCTGATGATTGCACCTTTTCATTTTCTATTCCAAATATTTCCCTTCATGTCGGGCTGGAAGAGGATTCACCTCGATAACAACTGCTCTCCCAGGCTCAGGGGTAGTTTCCTCGAGACGCCGCAGCCAGACACCAATACACATGTAATAGGAGCCTTCTCCCACTGGAGATCTCCCAGAACACTCTTTCAGTGGAAGCTTCAAATGGTTTCTCGCCTCTGAAATCACTGCTAACGGCCTTTTTTTAAAAAGAGGAGTGATTGCATGTTTGCTGGAGCCGACCCCCCTGAACAATCCCCTGTTAAGCATTTACCAGTTAAGTCGTCTCCATCTCCTATTCTCCACACGTTCACCGTTCTGTCCATGGAGCCGGTTGCAATCCACGGCATGGTGGGAGACAGAGCTACAGCAGTCACATACCTGCAGGGTGAGGGGAGAGCAGCGGACATGTGAAATGTGTGTGACAGAGCCAAACTAGCACAGGAAGAGATCTGCGTTAAAAGTCACGTTTCCTCTTCAAAAAAATAAATAAATCAAGTCTTAGATGGTTCAGTATCTTAAATCCTTTCAAACACTTCAAAGTGCTCTGCCGGAGCCCGCCTGTGGTGCCACTTCAATGACTTGACTGGAGAGCAGAGCTGAAGAGCGCACTGTTGCATCACTACACCCGGTGCTTCTGGGAGAAAAACTAATCAAGCAAAAATCACACGTTTGGATGCCAAACACTGGGAATCAGATGTGATTCTGTTTGTCTGCAGAGATTTGGCAGCGGAGGCCGCTCACCTGTCGTGCTGTTTCAAAGTGTGGAGCAGGGTTCCCACGTTCTGTGAACATAGTGACATGTACCACACATGAAAGTCTTTGTGTCAAAACTTTTCTCTAAAACTACCTGAAGGCAACATAATGTGAGTGTTCTCTGTGTTTTACTCACTGCGTCATGTATTGCAACACTTTTATCCACTGAACTGTTGAAGAGTTGGAGAGAGAGAAATGTCTCATTTGCAGGATTCACATGAAGGCATTTGCATTATAGAATAAGAGCTGTCGTAAAAAAAAAAACACATTTTCACGTGTTTCTATTTAAGTGCCACAAACAGAGCAGAGATTGTGGACCCAGTAAAAAGCCACACACTCCTCCTGTGGTGACTGAGGGAACAGCAGCACCACAGCTCAGAGAATTCTAACCAGGGAGGAAAATTCATTTAAACTTCATCTGATCAAAGTGAGGTGGTGAATTGATGGGAAATGATACAAATAAATGACGGATACAAAAGTCAATATTCAGATATGTTTGTGTGGAGTGTGTTTTCTCACCCGGAGACGACCAGATCTCCATCAGAGGAGAGAGCACAAGACAGAACTGGAGCCGAATGACTGGTGAGAGTGTGGAGGAGCTTCATGACCCAGACTGAAAACACGCACACGCACGCACGCACGCACGCACGCACGCACGCACGCACGCACGCACGCACGCACACACACACACACACACACACACACNCACACACACACACACACACACACACACACACACACACAAAGTAGAGTTGTGTCTGTATTTGTTAAGCTATAATATCTCCAAAAATACTAAATTGCAGTCCCTCATAACGCACAAACACACACATACACATTCCCAAGTTTCTCCATGACTTCAGAGGACATTACATTGACTGACATTCATTTCCTGGACACCCCCTCTAAACGTAGCCATAGTTACTTCTTCTATTTGTCCCCATAAGGAAGACAAGTCTCCATAATATGACTGATTTAGTTTCCCACAAGATGAGTGATACCAAAAACACACACACACACACACACAAGGTCATATAAAGTTGTGTCTCTATTTGTTCAACTAAAAATACTGAAACTCAACACACACATACACAAACACACACACCTTACAGTGCATCATCCACTGGACCCCCCACCCCTCTGACAACTCAAAACTTTTTTCTTTTCTTTTTTATCAATAGCTCTGTTCGCTCAGAGTGGTGCCACCTGCTGACAGCTGCTGGGAAACAAAAGCTTCTTCCTCTGGGCAGTAAAGCTGTGGTTCTCACAGCCTGAGATACTGAGACACTTTAAAGAAATACACCACTGTGCACCCAACTCTTCTGTTTGTGCCAAAACTAATTGGTCTGTGGCAGCATTTAAATGATCAGCTTGTAAACAAACGTCTTAAATCAAACCTCCATTAGAGAACAAACTGTTTCCAGAGTGTGTGGACAGATCATTTGTTGTTTTCATGCATATTCATGAGGCAATGTGAAACAAATACAGGTGAGGATGGAGGGGAAAAAACTGAACTACATGATTAAAGCAGACAAGATGGAACTGTAGACGTGAGATATCAAAATAAAACTAATGTGATGTGTGTGCAAGAGGCTACTGATGCTTCTAGGAAAAAGATTTGACTGACAGTATTTTAAGAGATCGAAACCAGAGCTTCCACACAGCTCTGGAATACGACTTTTCCATCTGGATGTACATAATATCAGGCTCAAGGCAGGGATGAGAAAAATGTTCCACATCAACAGCAGACACAGGAGTCCCAGTTTCAAACCTGCTCCTCTGCTTCACGTGCACAATCTCGCCAAGACAAAATAGATTCACATCTCTCAACCTGAAGCTCCTCCACAGAGACTCGTGTGGAAAACAGTGTTTTAAAGGAAGTGAACGAGGGCAGACATTGTTCTGTGTCCTTCTACAACCTGCGCAGAGAGAGAAAACATCCCTGCGGACTGCAGCAGGGTCACAACACAGGACACGCTGCATCCTCCCCAGAAACGCCTGTTACCACGGCAACCCATCTTAAGGAACTTGCAATGTGGCGTATTCAGACACTAACATACAGTCTGTAAGCAGGTGGCACACACGTTTACTGCGATCGCTGGTACAAGATATGAATGTCAGAGTGGATATACGCTCCTCCCAACAAACACACACACACACACACACACACACCTCTGCTGCTTCTGTATTTCAGGAGAATGTCTTCAAGTGATGCATTATTAATGACTCAGTCTGCAGCTGATTTATTCCACACACTAATAAAATTCTTCTATTCTGCAGAGAGATTCCAAGGTTAAAGCTCTCTCTCTCTCTTTTTCTCTCTCTTTCTTTCTTTCTCTCGCTCCCTCTCTCCCTGGTGATGGAGTGATGGGAGTTTTCGGTTGAGGGAGTAGGCAGAGGTTTCGTACCTGCTCCTTCACGCTGGGAAACAATCCATATTTTCAGCTGGCTGTCCTGTCCACAGGAGGCCAGTCGAAACTCCACACAGGAGCCATCTGCAAAACACACACACACACACACACCTCTGAATGTTCACGCTTAACTGAGCTTAATAACCAAACAAGAATAAATGCTCTCTGACGGACTGTGTGTGAACATGATGCATGAATCTTTTCCACAGAAAGCATCACAGATAAAGTCTTTGGATTAGAATCAGGTTTTCATCAAGAGATTTATGAGCTTTTTATTCTAAATCAACATCTTAAAATGAACATTTTAATTCAACACAGTGTGAAACTGGTTATTTTCAACCAGCTGCTCTCCGTGAAATTCTCGTTTGTGCTAAGTGGATTGTAAGTATTTAAATGAGATGAACAGGACAGAACTGGAGCCGAAGAATTTAAAGAATTAGTCCACCGAAAATATCAAACTCCCGGGAATAACACAGCTGTAAAAGTGGGACTACTGCTGAAATAGTTCCTTAAAGAACTTCTTACAGTGACGTCTGTGGGTAAAAGGGAGAAAGAGAGACAGCTGTTAGGTTCAGAGCTGCAACTAACTTGTCGATTTTTACGATGAATCAATCACATTTTCGATCCATTAAAGCAACACTATGCAACTTTTAAACTTAAAGTAGCAGCTTCAAAATCTGTTTAATAGATCAGACTTGGAACAGAGAGAATGGTGCCACTTTCATTTCAAGTCCTCTCTTGCTCTTTGTAACTTTGGTGCGGTGGGTACGATCTCCAGTGAGAAGTGTGCAACTGACTCTAGATCAGCTCAACTTTAGAAGTACTATCCATGTTAGTTCAGTGAGTGGGACTTCACAGTCAGAGCTCCGGTGAACACGCTGATAGATTTAGTTTTTTTCTCTACATCGGTTGACCAACAGAATGAATCACCACATGGGGCTGCAGAGGGCGCTGTTGCTCAGCAAAACTGACAGTGTTGCTTTAAATGGAAGAGAAACACATGAACCCAAATATTCAACTGTCAATGATTCAAGTCATTTCAGATCAGAGAACCATGAACAGTGCTGAGGTGGCAGCAAAAATCACAAGAGGCAAATATTTTCAAAAAAATTTAAAAAAAAGAAACTAAATATCTGCACGTCTGGCACCACTAGTGTCAGTGAATGTAAGGAAACGTGTCTTTCTGTGATTTGACCCTTTCAGCTCTCTGAACTCACCAGGTCGGAGGTGCGGTGCCGAGCTGCAGCAGGTGACTCCCAGGTCGTGGGCGTCCTTCTCGGCGTGCAGGAGGCCGATGTCCAGGTCCCACAGTTTAAGGTCACCGTTGGTGCAGCCGGTCACGAAGACCTGGCCGCACGGAGAGAAGCAGCACGCCACGACACTGGCCTCACTCACTGAACTGCATCTGTCAGGGAAGCAACCAAACTTTACAGTAGGGGGTGAAATAAAGAGAATGATCCAGTTTCAAAACAACCTCATTTGATTTTTATTGTTGTTGTGTTTTACGTTTGAAGAAGGAGTGACCATTTATTTCAACCCACCCCTCCATCGGCAGAAAATGAGTGAATTTTCATTTTGGGGTGAACTATCCCTGTAAGTGCTTATAGTTTACAGTAGTCTACAGTAGTTTGCAGTAGTTTGCAATAATGTACAGTAGTTTGCAGTAGTGTACAGTAGTTTGCAGTAGTTTGCAGTAGTGTACAGTAGTGTACAGTAGTTTGCAGTAGTGTACAGTAGTTTGCAGTAGTTTGCAGTAGTGTACA